CAGCCAGTGAGCGCACCGGTCATCCCTATATAGGATCCGAACCCGCGGCGGGAACGATGCTGCACTCCCAGCGCTGCACTCTCCCGAGTGCGCCACGGGCTCTGCCCTGAGTTTGACTTTTAAAGACTCCACATGTAAGTGAGATCATGCAGTATTTGTGTTTCACTTAGCTTAATGTCCTCTAGTTTCATCTACGTTGTTGCAAATGGCAGGATTTCTTCGCTTTTCAAGGCTGAATAGCATTCCATTATGTCTGTGCACATTTTCTTTACTCATCCGTCAGTGGACACTTGGGTTGCTCCCATATCTTGGCTACTATGAATAGTGCTGACATGAACACGGGAGTGCACGTATCTCTTTGACACACTGATTTCCTTTCCTTTGATGTGTACCCAGCGGTGGGACTGCTGGATCATGTGGTAGTTGCAGTTTTAAATTTTTAAGGAAACTCCATACTGTTTCCTATAGGGGCTGCACCCTTTTACCTCCCCACCAGCAGTGCGCAAGTGTCCCTCTTTCTCCACATCCTCATCAACACTTGTTATCGTTCATCTTTTTGATAACAGCCATCCTACCAGGTGTGAGGTAATGTCTCATTGTGGTTTTGACTTGATCTCCCTGATGATAGTGATGCTGAGCATTTTTTCATGAACCTGTTGGCTGATAAGAGCCATAAACACAGGAGATGCTGGAGGCTGCCTGGCTGAGTTAGTGTTGGGCTGTTTGGGAAAGGCCTCTGCTAGCAGGTGACATCTGACCTCTGACCAGATGGCACGCAGGAGCCTGCAGGAATCCTGAGCTTCCTGGCAGAGGGTCCGGCAAGCTCACAGGCCTCAGGAAGGGATGACTTTCAACCTGCTGACCCCTTCTCTGACCCCTGCTGGGTGGCCCCCGCCCCCCACCTGGACTGAGGTCTGCCTCTCCAACCCCTCTGGGGTTGGCTCACCTCCTGCTCCCTGGGGTGTCCCTTCCCCAGCCGCATGAGTTGGCCTCGAGGGGCATTGTCTGATGGACTCAACCAGCTTGAAGGTCACACCACCCCAGCCAGGAGGATGTCCACGCACCACCAAGCCTGTGGCACCCATGGTGCCTTTTGATTTGCCTTCAAAGAGAGAAGAGAGGGTCACCCAGCCCAGCTCGCTGAATATTCTGGGGGACACATGGTGGGTTCTGACCCCGCAGGTCACCCTGATTTGCAATTCTAAGCAGCAGGGGAGGGACACAGCCCAAAGCAGGGATGCTGGTGGGGGCAGTGAGGCCCTGCAGGACCAGCTGCAGGACATGCCATTGGATGCAGCCCAGGGCCCACTCCATGGCTGGGCTAGCATGTGAGACCCCCAGTGCCACTCACTGCAGGAAGAGACTCAGCATGTGTTTCTCTGTGTCTCTTTCTGTGTCTCTGTGTCTCTGTCTCCTCACTGTGTAAATTGTTTCTGTCTCTCTGTGTCTCTCTCTGTGTCTGTCTCTGTGTCTCTGTCTGTGTGTCTCTGTGTCTGTCTCTGTGTCTCTCCCTCTGTCTTGGTCTCTGTTTGTGTCTTTGCACAGCATGCCTGCACACAGGTGAGGGTGCACCTGGCCAGTGGCAGGCGCCCCAACATGGGGCTGCAGATGCCGCCTGGCCCCTGAACCTCTGGCCAGTGTGTTCTCACCCCATTCTGCCCTTCCTCTGAACCATAATTGCTCATTTGTACATAGGGCCTTTTTCTGTCTAATCAATCTCATTGTGTTCAGACAAAGCGACAGCCTGGACTCCACGCTGTTGCGCGGCTCAGCGGCAGCCGGCAGTGAGTGGGAAGGTGAGAAACACTGCTTGGGGAATCTGCCAAGCCCGGCAGCTCTGCACACAGCACGGAGGCTGCTGAGGCGGAGGGCAGGAGGAGAAGCCTCCTGTCCAAACCTTCACAGCTCAGTGACCACAGGGACTGGCCTTGGCTGGCCTGGCAGGGGACTTTCCTTGCCTGGAGAGCAGATGACCAGCCCCATCCAGGCCCAGACTCAGGGGCGACCTCCTTCTAGCCTCCCGGAGAGACTCCGGACGGGAGAGAGCCCCCCAGACCCAGCAAAAGCGTAAATTCCTGGGGTTCTCATGACCTCCCACCCTCCCTTCTCTATCACTGCCAGGCCAGGAACAATGACATTTTAATTCCAGAAACGCTGCCCACAAAGGTTATCAGTGCAGCTTTGTTGGAGGTAGCAAAATTCGGGAGCAACAGAAACGCCCACCATCAGGCTGGTTGGTAAGTTAGGTGCGTCCACTCCACAGGGTGCTCTGCTCAGGAAGGGGATGAGGTGACTGCTGGGCCCGAGGTAGCAGGTTAGGAAAGCAAGTGGGGAGCTGCGTGAGGTCTGGAGATGGCTCCGCGTGCTCCGCTCGTGGCCCTGGTGTGGCTCTTTCTTGAGAAACCTGCCAGACTGACTTGGGGGAGGGCTGGGCAGCTGGGACTCTTTCCAGTGTGTCCTCCTGGAGTTACAGCCGCACAAATGAACTCCCTGTGACAGGTGCCCCGGGGTGAACAATAACCCCCACGGTCACACCAGAGCCACGAGGCCACCTCCACATCCTGGGACTGGGGATGTGTTGAGGGCAAAAGGGACCTGGACCCCAGTGGGTCTATTCCCCTCATTTCAGAGGTGGGGTGCTGGGGCTGAGGGAGCAGAAAGGGGTCTCTCGAGATGACATGGAATTTCCCAGGAGTGGAGTCACTCAGGGCAATTCTGACCAGCCCTAGTCCTCAGAGGAGATGCTGTGTGGGGGCTTATGGCAGAGAAGAGGAGGGAGCAGCGGTGGTCTGGGGGAGCCAGCCCTGCAGGGCACTTGAGACTGGGGGATCCTGCGCAAGTGGGCATCACGGGAGGAGAGGACTTAAGGAGCAAGGAAACTGGTGGAGTGACCTTGTTCTAGAAGGTTCTTGGGGTGGCCAGCCTGGTTCACTGTACTGTCCCTGTCCCCACCCTCTGCCTTTGTCAGGCATCTCAGGAGCACCTGGCATGTGCTCAGCATGGCTCTAGA